CAAAGTTGCTTTAGACATGTTGGTTTCAGAGTTGTAGCTTTCCCGAGACAGCTTTGGAGCAATGAAACTTTCTGAATATTCATTCCTGGGCTCCGAGGTCAAGAAAAGACTTTATTTGCCTCTCTTTGGTTGATTTCAAATATGATCTTCCATATTTGAGAAAAGTAATTGTCTTCCATCATGCATGTGTTAGGCATAACACTACGTTTTTTTACAAATCTGCTAGGCTGGCTACAAAATCGAGTTTTTGGCATAGTGTAAAGGTTAATTCTAAACAATTCTTATAGTATGATAATAGTTGAAAAGATAACCTCTAAAAGATATTTTTCGAGCAATTGATGTCAAATTTCCGGGGTTTCGTCACGCCATAAAATAAGTAAATCGTGTTTGCACAAGATTTCTATCCAATTTGTAGCCAACTTCAGACCTATGGCGAACCAGTCTCGTACTCTAGGGGGGCGGTCTAGTCAGAACAAATGATCAAGCAAGAATGTTCCTTTATTTGTTTACGCACTTCGTTGACTAGTGAAGTAAGCAAGCTACCTTGGGACTAACGTTGCCATTGGGGTCGCTCATCTTACTCTAGGGTAGCACTCTCTATAGAAAGATGAGCGGTTTGTGCTTCACTAGCCAAGTCCATGCGCCTACAACTCGATCTACTAGCGCTCTCTTCGATCCTTCCAAGTCAAGACCTTCGCTTGTTGACCACTTTTCGATGAGCAAATATTTTTCTCAATTACGATCCATACTCAAACATGTTCATTCGATGCCTCAATTGCCCTCTGCCACACATCTCTTTCCTTCGCTCTAGACCCACCCCCAAAATAGACCTTCTTCCCTTTCCTTTCACACTCTAAGGGTTGAACTAGAAAGTCAGAGTTAGGAATGCCATCTAATCCTACCTTTCCGATAGCGACCTCCCTGGGTATTTCTGTTGATTTCTTCCAAGAGTTTCCTTCGTTGATGTGACAGCAATTACACTTATAGCTCGCCTCTAAGATCCCTGGTTTAGGCGAAAACCATGAATACTAAGATTCTGAAGCAGGTCAATCGAACCTAGTGTAAAAAGTTTTTATCTGACTTGCATCGATTGGAATCTGTTAACTATGGTCTCTTTTCTATTGGTAATCAGTAGTTGAGGGCGCTTCTTGCTTGCTTCCTTTCTCCACTACTTTCCTTAGCATTAGCATGGGGTTGGTCTTCCTCGGTGAGCGGATGTCTATAACACCCGTTTTTAAGGATCTGGCGGATCGCCTAGAAGGGAGGCTACTGAGCCACCGATCTGACCTTCAATTGGCTTTGTACATCGATTAACATAGATCAAGAAAGGAAAAAAAATCCAATTGTGTTTGAGCCGACATTTATTCCTTGTGATTGGGTATGTATGTGTAGGAGAGTTACATACTGGAACCGCAGGAAGATATCGCCATCTGGTGGAATGGCAAGACTAGAAAGCTTGGTTGAATTTGTTTGAGGAAAACAGAATCATTCTCGGTTGTACAATCATTACTAGTAGTTCCAGCAAGGTCAGATCTGTAGATGCTTTTGATTGGCTGCATTTTGTGGCAAAACATTGGAGTATGTGTGAATGTCATAACTTATGTTATGACATACATGAAGGGTGTTCTGCAGGGTAAGTTGAGATAGCTAAGATCAAGTTAAGTTGGATGTTATGACATCAAGCGTATGACATCAGGGCGCATGTTTAAGTTTTAGGGTATTAGCCCAGGCTATACTTCAGGAAACATTTTAGGAAGCCTAGTTTAGAGCTGTCTGTGAATTGTGTCACTCTAAGCTTTTAAGAAAGAGTGCTATGTATCTTGATCAAAGCTGTGAAGCAAGATCAAGGTTTGTTTGAAGTGTGTCTTCAATATTACTTGTAACTTTGAATTGGTTGATATCACTGATGTGATTGAGGGGGAATGAGTTGGTAACTCTGTTCTAGTTTAGGCTGAAGTGTCATTGGGTAGGTCTTAAGTGAAGAGTGGAAACTGGTTGTTTGACTCTGAGTTAATTCTGCTAATAGTGAATTTCGTCCCTGGCTTGATAGCCCCTAAATGTAAGTGTGGTTTGCACTGAACTGGGTAAACAATTACGTGTGTTATTTACTGTTTTCTTTTATAGTTTGTCCTTAGGTTTTGTAGTCTGTGTTATAGTGGATGTTATAACATCCGTGATAACATCCACTATTGGGTACCTAGATCTTCAATTGGCATCAGAGCAGCCACCCTGCCTATTATTTTCTGGGTGAGATCTAGGGAAGATAAATTCTAGTACTATGGACAAGGATATAGGATTCACAAATAGACCACCAATTCTGGATGGCTCAAATTATGACTAATGGAAACCTAGGATGATAGCCTTCTTGAAGTCTTTAGACAGCAAGGCATGGAGAGCTACCAACTCAGGATGGGAACATCTAGTGAACACTGATAAAGATGGAGTATCTGTGTTAATACATGTAGAGGAATGGAACAAAGAGCAAGAGGCCTTGGCTTTTGGGAATTCTAAGGCTTTGAATGCCTTATTTAATGGTATAGGCAAGAACATTTTCAGACTATTGCATTTTTTTCGACTGGCTAAAGAGGTTTGGGATACTCTCAAAACAACTCATGAGGAAACCTATAAAGTTAAGATGTCAAGATTACAAATGCTGACCACCAAGTTTTAAAATCTAAGAATGAAGGAGTATGAGACTATTCATGAATTCTACATGAATATTCTTGAGATTGCCAATACCTCAGGAGCTTTAGGAGAAAAGATGTTTGAAGAAAAGCTTGTGAGGAAGATTCTAAGATCTTTTCCTAAGAGGTTTTCCATGAAAGTCATTGCTATTGAAGAAGCTCAGGATATAAGCAACATGAATGTGGATGAACTAATTGGTTCTCTCCAAACTTTTGAGATGGGAATGTGTGATCAGGTTGAGAAGAAGAACAAAAGCATAGCCCTTGTCTCAAATACTGCAGATGACTCTGAGGAAGACAATGGTGAAAGTGAAGAGAATCTGTAGAAGCAATAGCCTTGCTTGGAAGAAAATTTAACAAACTGATCAAAATACTAGATCACAAGTCTAGGCCTAATGACAAGAACACTTCTTCTGACATCAACAGAAGAGGTAAAAATGAAGAAAGGCCCAGCCAAGGCAAAGGAGTTCAATGTCATGAATGTGAAGGATATGGGCACATTAGAGCAAAATGTCCCACCTATCTCAAGAAGCAAAAGAAGGGCCTAGCAATCACTTGGTCTGATGGAGATTCTGAGAGTGGATCAGAAGAAGAATCTGCCAAACAAGTCACTATTTTGAACAATGAATGCATATCTGATGGTGACTCAAGTGAAGATGAACCGACTTTTGATGAACTTGCAGCTTCATATAAGAAGCTATCCATCAGAAGTGCAGAAATATATCAGCAAGGAGAGAAACAGAAGAAAAGCATAAGGGAATTAGAGGCTGAGAAAATGGAGCATCTGACAACCATTGACTCTCTCAAAAGTGAGGTCAGCTTGTTGGAATCTAAACTAGATCAGATGTCAAAATCCATAAGGATGCTAAACCCTAGGACTGACACTTTAGAAAAAATTCTACATAGTGGTCAGAAAGCAGGAAACAAGTCTGGACTGGGATTTGTTGGTGAACAGAAACCCATCTTGGGGTCCCAGAAGCCAAAGGTTGAGAATCAGAGGTCAAACCGGATGTTACGACCAATGTCACAACATCAGGGAAACAGAAGCAAGAACCAGATCAAGAAAAAATTCCAAAGGCATAGATGCGACAACTGTGGAAGATTTAGGCACATAAAGGCCTTTTGCTTCAGGCTGCATGGATTTCCCAGCCACATGTATCAAGTCAAACCCAAACACATTGCTTCTATCAAGAAAAGACAATGGGTTGCTAAGAATGTGGCACTAGTAGCTCATACTTCTCTAAGAATGCCAACCAAAGAAGACTGGTATTTTGACAGTGGCTGTTCCAGACATATGACTGGGAGAGAGAACCTTTTGGTGAACATCAAACCTCATTCCTCAAGCCATGTAACCTTTGGTGATGGAGCTAGAGGAGAAGTCATAGGTGCTGGAAAACTAGATTGTCCTAATGTTCCATAACCGGAGAACGTCATGTTTGTTAAAGGACTGACTGTAAATCTTATCAGTATCAGTCTGCTCTATGACCAAGGTCTCAATGTCAAATTTACTAAGGGTAAATGTGTTGTCACCAATAAAGAAGGTGAGGAAGTCATGAGGGGATCTAGAGCCAAGAATAACTGTTACCTGTGGGAGCCCAGAAGTAAACTCAATGTCTTGATCAAGGAAGAAAAGGAGGATCAACTATGGCTGAAGAAAGGCAGACATCTTCAAAGGATAAAGAAGACCTTATCCAAGGAAGCAGTAAGAGGAACTTCAAAGCTAACTCCAAATGATAGAACAAGTTGTGTAAAATGTCAGGCTGGTAGGAAAGTCAAGAAAGGACATCCAAAAGTTAGACATCATAGAAACCTATACCTGTTATACTGGAATTTGATGGAGTCCATGACAAGTGATCATCATAAAGGAAGAAATGTCACTCAATATGTCATGACTTTGTACTGCGACATTAAGAGTAACATCAATATGAACTCAGTTTAGTCTAAAAGAATCGACATAGGGATAACATGCATCAATTTGGAAAGGATCGTGTGAAGCTTGGGAACACTGATCTACATAGTCCTGACATGGTTACAAGAGGTTTCAAGGCTACTCAATTTGAAAATTCACAAAGCAAGTTGAAGAACTGCCGTTATGAGAGATTATAGCAATTAATGATAACTGGGAATTGTATTTTGAAAATTAATCATCTGCTGATTGGTCAAAATATTGAGTTCCCTCCTCTTGTGCAATATTACCCCTCTAGCACATACACACAAGATGCTTACTACATTTGGTGCCCATACAAACTCTTCATCTTCCATACCTCTTCTAACAAGCACAAAAAACCCTCTCTCTCACGATCAAAGTCTCCAAAAATGTCTCAACATCCAAAATCAATCCCTTCCAAAACGATGCCTACCATCTCTGACACAGATTCCGCTGCTAGAACTGATGCTAGCAACCCTAACGAGGCTCTTGAGGTAGGTCCCTTGAGAATGCTAACCCCAGAAGGACTGATGGTGAAGAAACCACGAACCTCACATGCAAGAAGACCTAAAGAACTTGTCACAGGTCAGGCTCCTCATTCTTCTACCTCCATTCCTGATGAGGATACCAATGAGGAAGAAGCTAGGAAAATCCACACCACCATTGCTAACTTGGTAACCAGGGTTCTAATTGAGCCACATGATGTGCCAAGAATATCCATTCCACCTAACACTGATGGTCTTGCTCCCCATCTGAATCAAGAAGCTGATGTCACTCACGATGTTGAAACCTTGGAAACAACCTCTCAAAAGGACAATGACAAGATTCAAGCCTCTGAAAATAATGATGATCACATGCAAAGTGATAAAAATGATGCTAATGAGGTTCAGAAGGACAATGCTGATGTAGTGAACCTTGATGACTATTCAGATAATGATCTGATAGCCACGATTAACCCTGGCATAGCTAAAAGGCTCATGAGTCGAAAAGGGAAGAAGGCAGCTGTGCAGAATACTCCTAAGAAGAAGGATGTAACAAAGAGTACTCAGGTTGGACCTACCAAAGCTTGGAGCAAGGTAGTTCTAAAGAAGAGGAAGGCCCAAACTAGTTCTGAATCAGACTCTGAATCAGATGTTGCTTGTGATGTCACTGACATCCAACCAAAGAAGAGACCCACAACTAGCAAACTGGATGCTAGTGTTCCAGATGTCCCTATTGACAATGTCTCCTTCCATTATCCATCTAGTGTCAACAAATGGAAATATGTGTATCAAAATAGGTTGGCTTTGGAGAGAGAGCTAGCTCAGAATGCTTTTGAAAATAAGGAGATCATGAATCTTATCCATGATGCCGGTTTAATGAAAACAGTCACTCAAATCTCACACTGCTATGAGTTACTTGTCAAAGAATTCATAATTAACCTATCAGAAGAATGTGCTGATAGGAAATCAAATGAGCTTGTCAAGGTTTATGTAAGAGGGAAATGTGTCACTTTTTCTTCAATAACCATCAATAACTATCTAGGAAGATCAGATGGAGCACAACCAGATATAGTTGTTTCTGACAACAAAGTGTGTCAAGTGATAACAGCCAACCAGGTAAAAAGCTGGCCATCAAAAGGAAAGCTAGTTGCCAGGAAACTGAGTCTCAAGTTTGCTATGTTACACAAGATTGGTGCTGATAATTGGGTGCCCACAAATCATAAGTCAATTGTGACAACTATCCTTGGGAAGTTTATCTATGATATTGGAACCAAAACCAAATTTGACTATGGGACCTATATTTTTGATCAGACCATGAAGCATGCTGGCAGCTATAATATAAAAAGCCGCATTGCATTTCCATCTCTAATCTCAAAGAAAATGATTCCTGAAGCAAGAGAGAAAGCCCTTTGTCCTTCCATCACAAGCTATTGTTGTTAATAATAGATTACCGAGAGAAATTCGTAAAAGAAATTTACATCCAAGATTTAATAACTGATCCATTCTTAGCCTAGGCAAAGACCATCTTGTTATGATAGAAACGAATACAAGGAACTCATGTTCCTGACATCTGCAGAAACATCCAAGGAAAGTTCCAGGACAAGAAAAGCTGAGGTTATTTCAATGCTCAAAGAAATTTGCAAGGAGTTGGATACAAGGAAGCAGAATCTTGAAAGATTGATCAGGTCTCTTGAGCAAGATGAAGATTCTAAATTCACTGACACTGATGAGGAGAGAAATGATGATGGTTCAAGGGAGGATGATGGCCAGGATGCTGCATCAGAGGAAGCTGTTGCCAGTTTTGAGGAGGCAAGTGATAAAGATGTTGAGGAGGTTAGTTCCAGTTTTGCTGAAGAGGAGGAAGATTAATGTGTTGGTAGACTGATGTGTGGCTCAGGATGATGGGGTGCTACTAGTTTCTGAGCTGATGATGGTGTGCTGCTGGTGTGACTAGTTTTTTTTGTTTCCTTGCTTAGATTTTGTTTTAATGTGACAGCATGAAATATTTGTGTTGCTTTTCATGAGCAGTGTGGTGTAATAACCCCTAACAACTATGCTCTTCATGATCTGTACTATTTAATTAGTTTTGATCTAAATTTTTGGCTAAAACGGGGAGAAGTGGTAGTAACAGTAGGGCTAGATTTGTGTCCACCTGTAGGTGGAAGACTTGGTTGTTGTTGCTGCTCTAAGTGTGCTACAGGTGTTGCTACTCCCTGTAGGTAGGATACTGGCATAACACAAAAACTGGGAGACTTGCTTCTCCCAACTAGCTTTCTTTTCCTCTAAAAATACTAAGACTAAGGTTCTCACCACTACTTAGTGGAAAAGGGTTGGATTAGTCCCCACCAGCGGCATTACCGACTCAAGAGTTAAATCTATAGTTGGATTAGTCCCACCAAAGGGAATCACTAATTAGGCTGGATTCTCCGTTCGGAATGTGCCATCTGGTTGGTGTGCAATAGTTTCCTCAAAGGAAGTCGTCAAACTACATGGAGGAGAACAAAGATGAAAGGTTGAAAGACATCTCGTGCCCATATGAATTCATAGATGCCTATCTGTCAAAATATTCAGTTTTGAAAGACAGAGCCTTTGAAAGCCCCTTCTTCTTATAGTCTGAGTCTTCCTTGGACCACCGCTTGCTCTCCTACCGGCCTTTCTTAGCTTTCCCTGCCTTTGGCAGTGAACGACTCGGTTGCGCTTCAGGAAGCTAACTCATTTGGCATTGGATCCATGATCAATTCGCAGATTGATCCACTTAGACTTCTGGCGTTAGGGCTTAAAAGGAAACCACGCAAAGCTCCGGTGATCCACTCTATTCAATGGTAACCTCCACCTCCTGGATGGATGAAAGTGAATACAGATGGATGCTCGAGAGGTCATCCAGGACCATCGTCATGCGTAGGAATCTTTCAAAACTGCAGAGGTTTTGTACATGGATGCTTTGCGCTTTCGTTGGGCAGCGGATTGACATCTCAGGCAGAGTGGGTTGGGGTTATGACGGTTATAGCTATAGCACACTCCAAGGGCTGGAAACACCTTTGTATCGAGTCAGATTCAACATATGTTGTTGTTTAATAATATGAATAAGTCAATGGCATATAGGTAAATTGCTTACTCTTGTTGTGACTAATAGTTGGCCTATTCGCCAACTCGATGTCAATAACGCGTTTTTGCAGGGTTCTTTCACTGATGAAGTATTCGTGGAACAACCACCTGGGTTTGAAGACTCCTTTTATTTTTTTAATGCAATTAAGAATTCCTTCCACTGAACTTTCTCGATTCCAACGCAACTTATCATTTTGGAGCTGACGTAACAAACTACGCGAGCCTCCCTAAGAAGCCAACATAAATCCTATCAGAATAAAAAAAATAAAAGGCAGTTTAATTATGGTGGTATACTAGCCGCCTGTTCTGGAACTTCCAGTTCTGACCGAAGCATATTTATCCGTAAATGGATTTGTATGTATAGCCACTTCAGTCATGCTCGTTGTTTCTCTAAAGTATCTTTTTTCTGGGAACATGGTCAACCATAAATTATTATTTTCGCTATTCTTCATCCACCAATGTAGAAAATTATCCAATTTTCCTTTCTCATATGAGGCCAGAAAGTTTATTGGCAACAGGTCGACACGAAGTGATTTGTCATGCTCAAACATGAGGCGATCGTTTGTTGGGACGGTTTATAGATCATAAAATTCCCACAAATGGAATGAGAAGTGGGTCCATGTAAATGATCGAGACCTCGGAAACAACAACGCTTCTTCCCCATATGGAGTTCGGAACCCAAAGGCAATCGTTGAGTGAACTGTATCTTCTTTTTGTTAGTTGACCTAAGCCATACCATTACTGTTGGGGTGGGGCTCGACCTTCGAACCGTACGTGGGGCGAGTTTCTGCCACATACAGCTCGGGCCAAAGATTGGGGGGAAGTTTAGGAGAGATAGGGAGACCCAGCAGCTGCCGGTCGGGGCAGGGATAAGCTTGTGAAGAAGCAAATCCCCCCCCCCCCAAATCCATTTATATACTATATCGCTAGCGCTTCGTGTTCTTTCTATTTCATCCCTTTTTTTTCCAGGATAGGTGGTGGATACTAATCTAATAAGTGAAGTAGTCGTCGTCTGACCAATTGGCTCGGACACCAGACTGCTCGTGCTCGCTGTTACACCCTAATTTTAACCTTGAATCGCTTTCTGTGCGATTCATAGCATTTTCATTATCTGTGCATCATATCCATTATTCATGTCATCTACCATTGTGCATGTAGGATTTATACCCAGGTTTTGAATCATGGATCAGGCCAGGTTGTCAAGACAAGTATGTGTGCGGTGTGTGTGTCATCCCCTAAATTTTACCTTCAGATCTCTTGGTCTTTTGTACGGGCATTCTTTAGTTTTTCATGTCGCATAATTAACCAGTTTTTTCTCTCTAGCTTTTGTTTGTTTAGTTTCACGTTTGAATCAGGTCTTTGCTTCAGAAAACTCAGAGAAGTCTTTGAATTATGATTTTGGATAGGTATAAAGTCTTGTGAGTTGGTTCACCATTATTCAAAAGTTTATACAGGGTTTGCAAAGGAAGATAATGGATTTCAATAGGACCACAAATTGTAGATCCATTTTCCTTGGTTCCGTTCTCAAGTTATTGGCCATTGCTTCAGGGTGAAATTGTCCATGTTACTATTGGAGATGATATTCAAATTAAGAGTTATGGAGAAAAGTGTTTGAATATCCTACTTCTGTTTGCTACCTGAAAAAGTGTTTGAATATCTTACTTCTGTTTGCTACCTGAAGGCCAGTTATTTGGAACTATGTGTACAATGTTAAATGCAATGCTCAAAGAATCGCACAAAAGTCGAACTTTTTTTTATTGAGGTCAAATCTGTTACAAGTTGTAATAAGATTATACAACTTAATACACAAGAGATTTCCTATAAGACTTTTAAGTGTTAGTTATTTGAATGTTGTTTCTACAAAGTTCGCCAAAGGGGTTGTTGTCGTTTGTCTTCAGAATGTAGTACTATGAGGTGCGGAGAGTGCGTTTTGTTATTCTTGGACCGTTCATAACTGAAAAAAGTATGCTATCTTAGTTGCACCATGTTTGAAGTTGACCTGCATAAACCATAAGTGAGTGTCATTTTCCGTTAAAAATCAAAACAACTTCATGTCTATTCCAATTCATACATGTTCATTCAAAGGACCAAGCAAAACAATGCAATTACATTATCCCAAAGCAAAACTGTGCCAGCGCATTGAGCCCTATGCAGTTCTAGTTCCAACCAAGTTTCAAATTCACTCAAGCCGTGTCGCATATGTTTCATTACATCTAAATCAACTAATTCAGTTCAATCGGACACAATCTAAACCAAGAGTCACAAATTCATGTCATGTACTCATCATATGTTGTGCATTAATTTCTTGTCACACAAGGTCAAGATTCAAATATCATCTGTAAAAGGTCAATAATTTCATAGCAGCAGATTTAAAGCAGCAAGTTATCAGGGGATCTCGGCAAGCATATCATGATTAAGGAAATTAACAGATGAAGCATAGCAGGGAAAGTAAGAAACAGTTCCATCTTCGTGAAAGTAAAAAGGGTTGATATCAGAATAACATAAAGCAAACAATGAAAGGCTATTACAAAGGGAATCAGAGTCAAATGACCACTATGATGCAAGATTTGAAGAGTGAAGGGCTGACCTATCCAAGTTTTTCCGATACGTCCTCACCGACGACATTTCCTGAACATTTTGGCAGCTGGCTTCGACTGAGTTGTAAGTTGTTGTTGGATTACTGGACTTGAGCTGAACTGCTAAAGACTGCCATGATCCAAACTGTGTGACTGTCATGGCATGTTGTTTTACTTTAATTTATTGCGGTGTATTTTTCAGTTAATAATTTACGTCATTCGCCGGAAGTTATACTGGTAAAAAATCAAATATTGAAGGGAATTACGAATGTATTCGTACCTGTACCACCTCCGGTAGAATTAAAAAAAAACGCAGATATTGTATCTCCTGAACTGAACCTCAATTTCAGAGTAATTCAGCAAAGTGCCATTAGCTGCTCAATAGTTGCATATAGGAACCAAAGAGTAAATGGTATTTTCCTCTCAGCTATGTTTTCTAGGGATCTCGTGTACTCAAATGGAAGCTAAGCAGCTCCTGCATATTGATCATAGAGGACATCAATTCGAAACAGAGACACATGATTTGATTCTCGGCTGGTCATTCCCACATCCTACCCTTTTGACCCTCCTTGAATGTTTAAACAAACTGAAAAGGAAATTCAACCTTAGGATCGACTTGAAGAAGAATTCCAACTAAAATAACCGATAACCTACCATGAAGGTCCTTATACCTCTCACTGTGGAAAAAACAGATTTTCCCACCAATTATCTCTGTCAATTTGAAGAGCTGCAGAGCTGTAAGCGGTAAACCATGAGTTAATTTCGCGCTAACTTTTTGCATTGCCGTGGCTTTTGTATCATACTTTCAAACATCAACTTTATGATCGTACACTACGACCCACGCTGCAAAAACCGAAACAATACAACAGTTACCGCCTGGAAACACAAACCGCAGCAGAATCAAACTTCAGAGAGAAGAGGAGATAAAATTGGAAAGGAGAAATTTACCTTGAGCAAGAATGTAAAACCTCTAATTTCTTCAACAAATTCCTTTTGTTCTTCACAACAATAAAGCCCTCTGCTGTGAATTCAGGTTCCAATCCTCATTATCATCAACATATTCCCCGCTTTTTCTACTTTGGATCTTCAGTGGCTAAATGCGATAGGGATCAATTTGTATCAATACAACATGCTTTTGTATTTTTCATCACTACATCTCATGTACTCCGTCTCGATCTCGCAAAGAACAACAAACCATTCACACTTATTCTTGTTGTTCTTCATACCACAATACTTCAAATTTTTGCAAATAATGTCAAGCTTATCACCTACAAAACAATTAAATTGCAAGTCAAATTAATTCAACAAGTTTCAAATCAAGCCACCATGATTCATAACAGACTCAATCACTTCACTCAACTTATGGCCCAAAGGCCAACTCGCCGACAGAATTTGGAATCTTTCAAGCTTGCACTTCGTGGTTCCGATTAACCCATGGTCCTTACGCTCCTCCTTGTGCTGTTTCACCCAAGCCTTTTCTTTAAGCAAAAAAAAAAAAGAAGAAAAGCTTGCGTTAAGTGTCTACATGAAAAAATACACACAAAACAAAGGATCAGCGTGAGAATACGACACAGTCGGAATTTGAGTTAGACAAAGAAATACAAATTCAAATGATTCAAAATCCAACTGAGTCATGTTCTACCATATTAATTACTAAAAATTAGAATTTTGAGAATACACTTTATTTCAGGACAGTAGTAGGGACTACGTATAAATTTTTTTTTATGCACAAAACAAGAATGCAACAGTTTTCAGATGGTGGCAGCAGAACAGATTCACGAAAATAGGAAAGCATTATTTGGAATCAAAAAAAGGCAATGACAGACATCCCAAAACAAAAGATGCTTCAACCAGATTGTAAATCAAAACCCTAATTGAATCCTATATATATACTAAAAGATTCATTCTGAAGTGAGGGATCCCTTGATACCAAGAACCCTAAAAACGAAAAGAGGCGGACAAGAGTAAAGGAAGAAGGAGAAAGAGGAGCCATTACCTGCGTTTGGAAGTCTTCAAGGGTGAGTCTTTCGTCTCAAACCTATTATCTCTGCATATGTTGTTGCTTTGATTTCCATTTTTTGCTGCTGTTGTTGTTCTCTTTCTTTGATTTGGGGGATTAGGGTTTTAGAAAGGAACTGTCTGATTCGGGCTTTTGGGTTAGGTTTTCGTTAAAATCGTTTCTAGATTCGTATTCAGGATGAGTTTTTAGACTGGGTTCATATTTGGTTCGAGGGGATTGGTGGTGTTTGAACGCCGGAGAAGGCAGCGGCACCATTACCGTTTTGCCACGCTTCTCCGGCCATGTGGTTTCCGGCGAGAAAGTTTTTTTAGAGGGGAGTAGTTGGAGAAGGATGAAGGGTAGGAGAAGAGCTTCGGTTTTTGTTTTTCTTTAATTTCTTTTAGTTTTTATTAAGTATTATTATTATTTCTGTAGAAAGAAACACTATATTTTTACTTATTTACTTTTAACCTTTTATTAAATGTTATTATCATTCTGTAGAAAAAAAAACATGTATTTTTTTTATTTGTTTACTTTTAACTTTATATTAATCTTATTATTATTTTGTAGAAAAATATGTATATAAAATTGTATTTATTGACTTCAACTCTATATTATAATAATTAGTATTTGTGTAAAAAAAAATATATGTATATAGAAAATTATATTTTGTTAATTACTTTAAGTTTACGTTTTATTAATTTTGTTATTTAATATGTAAAAATAATAATTTTGTTTTTTCTTGTTTTTTTGTGGTTAACTAAATAATTTAAAATTGATAGAAAAGTATATATATGTTTTTATTTAATATTGTTAAAATAATTGGTTAATATTAATAAATTTCATTAAATTAATTTCTTTTCATTTATTTCTTATTTAGTATATTGGTGTTTGGTATTTTGATTTAAAATTGTGTGACTTATATTTATTTATCATGATCGCACGATTAATTTATGTAAGTCCTTACATACCCATTCAAGATAAAATTAATTTCTCGATCCAACGTCGAGCCACTTTCACCATTGTAAGTCGAGTGCATATGCCTCGCCATCGACCTTATCCTAAAACTTTAGGATCTCCTTTTCTTTAATTAACTCTTTCTCACGCAAATATCAAACCTCGATTTACATCGAGTGTTTTCTCAAATTAAATTAATATACTTAATCATATTTAAATACAAATTCAATAAAAGATGAAAAAGAGAGAGTTCCAAGCCTTTGGTTCACTCTCCCGATTGTTTGGGCCCGAGGAGCCTTTCTTAAGTCCAAACAGTTGTCTTCTTTAAAGTATATACAATGCGAAACATACTCGAAATTTATTTTCCTAAACACTCAATGAAAAAGAGAGAGGGCCAAGCCTTTGACCCACTCTCCCGATTACTTGGGCCTGAGAAGCCTTTCTTAAGCTTCAAGTAATCGTCATTCATAAGCCACGTTAATTATATCAAAATCATTTCTTAATATAAGATGAAAAAGCGAGAGAGTCAAGCCTTTGACTCGCTTTCCGAATTACTTGGGCCCGAGAAGCCTTTCTTAAGCTTCAAGTAATTCTCATCCATTTAAAATACTTCAACCATCTTCCATCATTAAATACCTAACATTCCTTCACCGTTTGAGGATGAAAAGGAGAGATAGTCAAGCCTTTGACTCGCTTTCCCGATTACTTGGGCCCGAGAAGCCTTTCTTAAGCTTCGAGTAATCGTCATCCGATCCGTCTACTCGAACTTCATATTATCCTTTCACATTTGAGATGAAAAAGAGAGGGAGTCAAGCCTTTGACTCGCTTTCCGGATTACTTGGGCCCGAGAAACCTTTCTTAAGCTTCAGGTAATTGTTACCTCTAGCTAAACATCTGATAAATCAAATTTCGTTTCTTCGCCCTCGTGCGATCAAAATCCTAAAACCTATTCAAATACATTCTCTTTTTCAAACATATTCAAACCTTTAACTCAATTTCTCGCCGCCGTGCGAATCTTCAAACCTTTTCTTAAAACGTAAGATATGGTGTCTTGAGAACGACGCAAAATATTGCTTCGTCCGTAACCTACTTGAGTCGATATAAGTGGCGTGTTCCCCATGAATGTTGATATATGGAAATCCATTCAAAGTGGTGCAAGCGTCCTTTCCTCACTAGTTTAGATAAAGCAATATTTTCTGTCAAATACGACTAAGTATTTTTTGTTAAAGCCAACCAGCAACCGTAGGCCGAACTACGGCTGCTCTGATTTCTCGTCTGTTAACGAGAATACGTAGGCACAAGATTGCGATGATCTTGGCGAGCACATTTCCTTCCCATTTCCCCAATTCCCACGTTTCCTTTTCCCGTAGTCCCACGAACTACGGATGCTCTGATTCTTCACTTCTTTTCGAGTGAAAATACGTAGGCACAAGGGCCCTAATCCTTGGCGAGCACTCTTTTCTAAAACCCCCCTTTCTCCTTAGTAATCTAACCTCTTTTACTTACTTTTATGCTTTATTTCCTTAGAAGAACACAAACAAATTAGACTAACATTTCTTACGAATCGAATCAAGAGGTTCCCGTTGAGTACAACGGACGTGAGGGGTGCTAATACCTTCCCCTCATGTAACCGACTCCCGAACCTAGAACTTGGTTGCGATGACCATGTTCTTTCCCTAAAGGTTTTATCGATATTTTCCTTTCCCTTTTCGGGATAAATAAAGTTCGGTGGCGACTCTGTGTTTTTCGCGACCATTCGCGAAGGATCGTGCTTTTTTTAGGTACGACACTCGCCCACTCTGTCTCGCCCTAAATGGAATGCCTCTCTTAGTTACACTGTGCCCCGGTCTGAGTCCCCACGTCCGCTCTTCTCCGCCCGCAACCCAAGAAGTTGGCTTTACCAACACAACATTAGGGCCTTCCCCTTCATTATATGCCCACCTCGGCCTGGGGCTGGCTTTTTGGGAAGCCCGTTCCCACCGCGCTCACGGCCCGGCTGGCCTTCCAGCGGTAGTGGGAATTTTCCCGTTCTCTAGTCAAAGACTTGGTTGGATGCGGAATCTACTCCGCGAGGAGCGGTACAGACGTAAATGATATCATCACGACCACTCTTTTCGTACCTCTAGGGATGCCTAACGCCACTTCGCCAACTGGCATTACCTGCGCTTTCGTCTCTCTCAGTGTGGTCAGCACTGGGTGTTTCCGAGCTGCGAGGCTTACACCTATTCGCATGAGTTCATCCAAAGTTCCTTACCCTTATGCACAAATTATTGAATAAGCCATCTTCCTATCAAGGTTAAGGAGTCAACAGAGCATCTCAGCGGCGGGATTGAACATCCGGATCGAGTTAGAATTCAAGCCGCCCGCCCCGAACAAATAGGAGGCGTGGGCCACAAGTCGCACATAAGCCACCGGGTCGCACGACAGAAGAACACCCAACATACAGATGCACACTCCAAAATGTGAAATATTCATCTTCATTGGAGCTTTTTGGTGGTAGTCGTGACCAACAGCCATCAGTTGCCGGCTCGTCGGTAACGCGAGAGCTTCAAGCTCGATTTCGGGTTCAGGTGGCACACCCTCGACACAAGCACCACTCGACAAAGGGGGGACGGGGAAAGCTACAGGCCCAAAACCTTCGACCCTTCTTTCTAAATAGGGGTGCCCAAAGCACCCCATCTTATCATTTCGTTGTTGCTCATTCCCGTTAGGGTTAGGCCGAAGTATTTGGTGTATCCTTCTCCGTGCCCGCTCACGCTTTGCTGGCCTATTGCATAGTAAAGAGAAGAGAGTACGAAAGAATAGTAAACATAGAACACCATAGAAATATTCTAAATATGAGAAGTCCCCCTTGGACTCAATAAGAAGGAAATGAAGAACGAGAACGAAACGAAATGAGGCGTTTCCAACTCTAGTTTCGGATGCGCTTCTCCCAATTATGTCTGGTAATAGAATAGGGCGGCTTGCTCTGACCAAGACTCCACTTTTTGCTCCGTCCATGGAGCATATGAATTTCCTAGAATGTAGATAGACCAAAAGAGGGAATGAAGGGATAAGAATAGGAATTATAGTCCCATTGGAAAAAGGGGCACCTATGGGAACATCTCTACTGACGAACCATTTCAATAGTAAGGGTGCTACCGTGCCACGAGGCATTACCATAGAAGTAATGAAAAATAAAAAGTTATGTAGTTGGACCATCTGCTCTATTCGTTCGAGTTTCGATTCTCTAGATAATATGAGACGCAAAAAATGAAAGTGTTCGTAACGTATACCGAAAGGATACCAATGAAGTCAACCATTAATGACTAGTTCGAACACCAGGAGCGGTCTGACCCCTGATTTAATCAAATAGACTACTCTTAGAAAGATGAAAGAAAAGCAAACTCTCCAAATTAAATTGTTGACCAACCTTTCCTTCAATGATAGAGGCAAGAAGACTTTCCGACTAGGCCTTACTATAACCAACCTCACAGATCCCACTCCATCTTTTACACCGATGTATCGTACTCTCTCGACCAGTTCATCATAAGAAAATACTGCGAAATCTTTCCTAAGTGAGAGAAGAAGGGAAGGCGCGCTACAACTAACATAACAGCCAGCTGAAAAACACTAGCTAGCTAGGCTAGCGCGCAATGGCTTTCTCTGATAGGGGCTCGCTTCTTCAAGTTCTGCCCAACCTATACAAGGTGTTGCTCACTTTCTCTCAGCCACCAGTGGCTTATGTAGTGGCATTCCTATGTGCTCCTCTTTTCCCCCTACTTAAGAATCCAAAGGTGACCTTTGGCTGTTGTCTTGACGCTTTGGTTACGAAAGTAGTCGGGGTCTAGGTTTATTGATGGATTTTGTCAGCGAAAGCCCCTCAAACTCAATCAATATCAACAACATGTCATGACCGGTTAGGCTTGGTGGATTTTGTCAAAAAAGAAAGTAGGTTTCGGTGTGGGTTTATTGATTAGTACACCTCCGGTGCTGATAAGGTCGGGACCGTGGTCGTCCGTCTCAGGTTTGTCGGCCGATAAGATCTCTGAGATTGACCAGCCAACTGGGTTGGTTTGGCTATTCCTTTCTATCTAAAAGAAGGAGTGAGTTGTCTGCGTGAGTCACATTCTTCTAGGCTTCGCTGGACGACACGGTATTCTCGTTTAAATATAGGTCGGCCGCACTTGTGATGGTTCCTCAAGATCCAATATATATGACTACTTACGTCTACGTTGCCACGATATTATTCTATGGAAGCAGGCGGGTTGTTAGAAGTTCGGCCCGATTTTTTTTTGGTGTTGTAGGGGAGGGATTGACCTTTTTAACGCATATTCACTCGTACTAGAATGGCCCCACTAATTTTTTTCCGACCAGAGCATCAAGCAGCGTAACCCGATCCTACTTGACTAAGCCCCATGCTCGTCCAAGGAGGTAAAGGTGAGATAATACTTAGAAGGGGGGTTGAATAAGTATGAAAGATTAAGACTTGAAAGAAAATCACACAATTATTTTTATCCTAGTTCGTTTAAACAACTACTCCAGTCCACCCTTCCTAGAATGATTTGCCTTTCTCAACAAGGACTTAATCCACTATTAAATCAAACTGATTACAATAGTAACACCTAAGAACAACTGTTCTTAGTCTTCTCAAGAGCTACTGATTCCAACTGAATCCTCTTAAGGAATAACCTTTACAATCAATGTAAATTAAATACAAGAGTATTAATGCTTCTATAAAGCTTTTATCACAACAGTGATTTTTCTCTTAAGTTTAAGTACAATAAGATTCTAACAAGAATATGAAATAATGAGAGCTTAGAATAATATGATTTCTTTTCAGCAAAAAAACGTGTCACTGAAGAAAGTGGTGAAGTTCTCCTTTTATAGGCAGCTGATCCAAGGAAGCTGAGCGTTGAAAAGAGAGTCCCAAAAAGGTCTGAGCCTTTTTTGTCTTCACATCAAGTGACCTTTCCTAGAAGTAGATGGCACAAAAATATCCTTTTTGTCTGTGTAAGTGTGTCTAGCACAAATGAGGAAAGAGACGTTGAATAACTCCAACGGATATATTCTTGAATATTTCTTCTTCAGTTTTCAGCAAGTTCTTCAGAATCTGAATGGATCAGAGTCTTCTAATGATATTCAGAACTTTGCTATATCAGAGTCTTCTGCAGCAGGTTTGCTTTCAGCGTGTTGATCATCAGAGCATTTTTGACACAGAACTTCAGTACTTGGCAGCGTTGGTACTTTCAGAAACTTCTGTTAGACAAATGCTTTGAGAAACTCTTCAATCAATATTCTTCTATGCTACAGATGCTTCAGCTTCAGATGCTTCTGATTCAGAATGTTCTGGAGCTTCTTGCTTCAGATCCTTCTGGAGACTACGCTCAGGATCTTCTGTAATGAGCAATCAGATTCTTCTGTAAGTTGCATCTGGCGCTTCAGAGTCAGAATAACTTCTTGTATCCAAAACAGATTTGCTTCTAGAGAGTTAATTTCAATTCAATCTGCAGTAAAACTCTCAAACAAATTTTAGAGTATATAATTCTTAAATATAAATTTCCTAACAGTTATCATCAAAATAAAGAGTTATTATTAAGAATCAATCTGTGTTCTAACAATCTCCCCCTTTTTGATGATGACAAAAAGTATCAGAAATTTTATTTAACTGAACATAAAGAATTATAACTCCCCCTGAGATGATGAATCTCCCCCTGAATTAAATATGAAAAAGGAATAGAAACTTCCCTTTTGTCTTGAGTAATCTTCAGAGTTAGATCTTGTTTGTTTTTATAACAATTTAGGATCAGAATATCTTGCAGATATAAGATTCAAAGTTTGATAAATGATCTGAGAGACTCAGAGATTCTTTTATAGAGTGTTCTTATCAAATGTTCTGAAATAGTCAATTTAAATATTAGATAGAGTAGATATGTCTGAAGATTCATTCTAGTGAAGTTATATTAAACAGTTCAGATCTTTATTTTCTCCCCCTTTTTTGTCATAAGCAAAAAGTAAAAGCTTTTAAAAAGACAAATAAAAGGAACAATAAATAAGATAATTCAATGGAGAAAAAAAACCGATTCATTCAAAATAATAGAGCAAGAGTACATAGGTAAATATCAGAAGATATAACAATAAAATTCAGATGCACAAACATTAGAATGAAAAAAATCTAAGAGTGTTTTGACAAAAGCATCTTCAATAGATCTGTAATCTCAGATGATGATTGCTCTTGCTTTGACATCCACTTAGTCATGGTCTCATTCTTCTCATCTTGTTTTGACATCCACTCTGTCATATCTTCAGATTTCTTATCTTGCTTTGCCATCCAAAATCTTATTTCAGACTGACCAGCCTCCAGAGCAGCAATCTTGTCTTCAAAGTCTGGATGTTCTGTCGTTATCTCAGATGAAGAAGGTGGAGGTTCTGTAGCCTGAACAGAGTCAATTGCCATAGGTTCTGTAGATCCTGAAGAGGGTTCTACCAGAGTCATAGTCAATGCATTGGCAGTTGGTTCTGTTGGAGGTGGAGGAGCATCTAAACGAAGCAGAGGTTCAGTTTTGTTGACAGTCCAGAATAGAGTCCTTTTAGCTCTGAGCTTTGCATCATCAGAACAGACGTTCTTCAGATTGGAAGCTACAGTGTTGAATCTATTGATGAATCCTTTCCAGATGATGTCAGATTCATTTGCATCCATAGTTTCAGAGCATCTCTTCTGAACAGTACCTAAAGACATCTGTATTTCTTGCAAAAATGTTTGAAATAAATGATCAATATTAAGTCTGGGCTGTGGTTTAAGCAAGGTTTCCAGAGTCATATGTTTAGGTTTGGGAGTTGATGGTAACAGTGATTTTTGGATGGAAATTAGAGGAGGGGGGTAATATGGAATGAAAGAAATTTCTGGTTTTTGAGGTAAGGATCCGTTTAAAGCATTAAGCAGATGAGGTTTTGGTCTTGTGCGTGGGCAAACATCATCAAAGGGTTCATTAGAATATGGTATGAAAGCAGAGGTTGATGTTTGAACAGATGCAACTGTGTTATCAGATGTAGGTTGCAGAGCTGAAACAACAGCTTTACCAGAGGTTGCAGATAATGTTGCTAAGGATCCTACATTGTTCATTGATTGAATATAGGAAAGGATCACAGATGGAAGGGCCTGTCTGAGTTTTGGTTTCAGAGGGTTCAGGGGTTCAGAAGGTTCAACTCTATCATAAAAATCTTTCAGTTTGAAACCATAAGATAGATTATGATAAAGAGAAGAAACTTGGGCACAAGATATACCAGATGATGATGGAGTAGAATTGGGAACAATCATCTCAGATGATGGTGCAGGTGGAGGCATAGGATCTAGAATGGGAGTTTTAGAAGGTATGGTTGATTCAGGTTCAGGTTCAGGTTCAGGTTGGTTCATCTCAGAGTATTTGGATGGAGAGACAAGAAAATCTGGGTGGATTTCTGATTCTGATGAGTTGGAGGATGTTGTAGGTGTACAAGAGGTAGAAGATACTTGAAACACTGTTTTTAATGGAGTGATATCAAGAACTTCTGTCTCAGGGATATGAGTAGGTTCTGAAGGAATTTCAGATTGATGGGATGGTGGTTCTGATGAAACAGGAGCAAAAGTTACTTTTGTGGGTTCAGAAGTAACAGGTGCAACAGGTTCAGAAGGTGGAATATTTGATGGTGGATTGTCAGAGGCTTTTTCTGGTTGAACTTCTTTGGTTTGGTTTTCTGGATGTTCAGAGGTTTGTGGTTGATCAGATTTTTGTTTTTCAGATTGTTGTTGTTGTTTTGATGGCTGTGGTTCTGTTGGTTGTGATTCTGATGGTGATGGACGTGGAATAAAGTGTTTGATGTGTATTTTGGGTTTTGATGGTTTTAAAACAGAAGCAGTGTGTTGTTTTTGGGGTGAAACAGAACTAGGGGCAGTAACAGAAGTTGTTTGAGTAACAGGTGGTTGTGGAACAGACTTAATATTAGAATCATTAATAACAGTATTTGCAGAAGGGACAGATAACTTAGTACCTTTTACATTAATCCTCTTGGCAGGTACAGAGGCAGCTTCTCTAAAATCTTTTCTCTTCAAGAGCTTCTTGGGCTTTTCAGCAGTCTTGACCTTCTTCTGGACAGGTTCAGATTCTTCTGCAGGCTGAGTCCTTTTCCTCTGAAGTGGTACTTCTTCTTCTTCTCCTGCATCTGGTAGTGGTTATTTGACAAGC